CCTATCTGTTTCACGTATCACTTGCATGTTTCCATGCCTGTTGCTCAAGGTTCTAGCAGAGTACGATCTACAGCTGTGCGCCTGTAACAAAAGAGACTCCTGTGTGCCTGTGTTCCTGTACGCCTTCGCGAGGGGATACACGCCCAGGTTACATCTCAGGGGGGGGGTTGACATTCGGCCTCTTCCATGTAGCAAGGGCTCAGTGTAGACGAAGCAATTGCAAAACCAGGAATCGGGCAGGCAAGAACAAGGTACCACTAGCAGAAACAAGGACTTAAGACATTGGACGTAGCTTTTCGTGGTTTGTATTCAGGACCTGCAGCTTAGGGATGCTTGGGGTTTTGGGCCTTCGAGCTATGTGGTTAAAGGTTAGGGGTCTTGGGTTTAGGCTTTGGGAAGCTTGCGCCTACTAGCTGGAGCTTGCCCCTCCGGAAACAGTCCTCGTTTCGAAACAGGACCTCATTTGAACAAGCTTACAGAGCATGACTCATTCACCCGTTTCCATTATTTTCCGTTGGCCCTGGATGTGCAGAACCTTTGAGCCTGAAACTCATGCGCCCCAGCGAATCAGGCATTTAGTAGAAACGATGAGATCAAATAGTCGAACACATGCTCTGCTACTCAGTCACCGGCATGCATCGAACTGCAGACCCTGTCTTCACAGGCAGGAGGAAGTTGGGTACAGCCCGTCAAACCTGCCAAAAGGGCTCTGGCGCCGAGCCCAGAAGATCGCAATTTGGCAGGTGGACATGAGTTTCCTGTTTAGTCTTTGCAAGGAAGGAGTCTCGAGATGACCGTTCAGCGCACTTCACCAACGTTGTGGCAAACTCGAGGACTCGGCATTCAGCTTGTCACTCTTGCAGCAGGTTCCATGAAACAGTCAGCTGACATACTTATCATTGCATTGGGTTTTCTTCCTGGGTGAGAACCCCGTCTTTGCAGTGGTGCGCAGCCTGGTTGAAATGCGGTAAGATGTGCTTCGGGGTCGAGCTTCTTGTGGCTAATCCAAAGCCTCCACATGATCTCATGGCAATGGAAGAACAAATGATATGTGCAGGGCTTGTCGCAGCTCAGAGATTGGTAGCCATCTTTGCTTGTGCGTTGGTCGAAGCACCATCTGTGGCTGGTCTTTGGTAGGCCAAAGCCGACCATCAGAAACGGTTGGACGGCCGATGAAAGACCAGGCAGAGCCCGAAGCAGCGACCCACGTCAGGCTCTGAGAGCAGCCGCATGTGGCCATGCACAGTTGTGCAAGGGTAATGGTATGACCTGTACAGCAAGAGTTTCGGAACGTTTTTTTGCTGACTGTGCCTTCCTGTGCCCTGAGGAAGTGGGGGCTACACTCTTGGCATTGTCTTGCGCGACGGCCAACTTGACGAGAGCAGGATAGACAAGGGTCTGTGAAGCACTTGCGCTGTCGTAGCAAGCATTGGCCGATGAGGCTTCGATGTGCGTTGTACAACAGCCTCTATTAAGCTAAGGAAGAAGCCGAAGTGTCAGTCTATGCTAGAATGCGCTCGATTTCATCGTGGATTTCACCCGCTGTTAAAGTACAGTATACAGTGAGTCAGTTTGGCAGAAGGCTTCGGCCTGCGCAGGATTCCAGACACGATACTGCAGCTGATGTCCAAGAAGGCACCAAAGGACACGCTGCATATGCCGAACTGCCGAGCACGATTGCAGATCTCCACATCCTTCTGTGGAGCTTTGTGACATGGAAGTTGCTGCTGCATGCTTGGGACGAGGACAGGAGGAAAGTGGCGCAGCTTGGTGAAGTTGATATCGATATATCCATGCACAGAGATCTTTGCTTTATTCGGGCTGTGCAGACATGTATTTCAAGGCGGCATGCGTCTACATCACCACCGCGACGACGATCAAACATGCAAGAGGCTCGCAGGTACAGATCGTAGGAATCTGTTCGGGGCTGCGTGGTTGTGAGCATGCTCCTTTCAACATTTTTTGTCTTCTTGGTCTTGGTCACAATCAGCTCGAATCCCTCCCAAATTGCCAGGGCCTCCAAGCTGAAGCCAAGGCTTTCTCAAGGGAGCGGGTCATTGTGGTTTTCCCTAGCAAACATCGTTGGTGATGTTCATTGGCTTGCTTCGATCTGCTTTCATGCGCTCCTTCAGGACATGCATCCCCTCGATTCAAGAAGCCCCGACAGAAACGTAGGTCCTCGATGAAATGCTGACGTGCAGTTCCGGCTTTGCATTTGGTGTTTGTATCGGCGACCAGAATGGAGCCGGAACCCGTGGCTGGCTGGCAGGTGTGCAAAGCCGCCGCACTGGGCGGCCCAGCACGAGAGACGTTGCGTGCTGAGACCTTTCCCTCACTCCACGTGGCAGGTGGTATAGCTGTGGAATCTGGAAGTTTCTCTCGCTTGCACCGCTGATGCAGTCAAGTCCCTCACCGGACACTTTTTTAATGGATTGAATCCTAGTCTCATGATTTCGTGTGGGGACCCAGAAAGTTGTAATGATGGAAGCCAGGCCCATGCACATGACCAACTCTGTACACACGCAGCGATGCAGTACGATTGCTGATCCCAATGGGCCCATAATGAACACTCTTCTCGTTGGCAGCGTGCGTATTTAGTCTAAGTTTCCGAACATTGAAATTCTCAAACCTCTCCGGTTTTAGTTGCCCGGGGTGACGTACCGAGAGCAGGCCATCAGAGCTGACTCCCAGTAATGCTCGTGTGGCAGTAAGGTCTGCTTTTATTTACCCCGGAAAGATGCAGGAGGACGAGTCCTCGAGGTGGGTGCGGCTTTGCAAGCATGCTGAGCAGCCTCTGCCTTTTTTGCACATTTCAGGTCCACGCTCGCTCCTTGAAGAACCTTGCGACCTCACATTTTGGCGCGGGTGATTCTCCCAGCTGATTAGGGATTCATATCCTGTCGCCTTGAGCTGCCATTAAAACCACCGTTATCCGGCTCAGTCTCATGGGGACATGAGTCAGGTTCTGGTGCCCTGCAGAAGATTTTAATGTGCACAATTGCGTAGTGGCTTTACTTCCATGAGGTGCCATGTCCGTACCTCGGATTCAGTACCATTGAACTCCGACACGCCGCGGCACAAACGAAGCACACGTGACCACACATAGCAATTTTTCTGAAGCATGTGCGGGTATCTTCGCTTTTCGAACCATAACATCAACAGCCACTCACCTACAAAAACTTACGCATTTTCCAGGCACTTTAATCTCTGCTACAAAACATGAGAGTCAGCCGCAAGCCCAGCACCACATCTGCAGCTACATGTCAATTCAATGTCTTTGTTGGTTTTGGTTAATAGATGTTAGTAGTATTTGCTCATGTTGTTCCTCTGCTTGGAGCATCTCCCCAAAAATGCACGATTTCGGCTGGGCGATCGCCTTGATCTCTACATTGAAAAACAAGAGTGAGGCTGAGCCAGGGAAGTCTTGAGGTTCTCAGGCAACCCCCAACCTCGTAGCATCCAACTAAGCTTCACAATCGACAGACTATGCGAACATGTGGTTCCATTAAGTCCTCGAGCCATCGTCACATGGCAAGCTCAGCAGCGGTTGGGAGTTGTTTTTGGGTATTAGTATTATTGATATTTTTTGAGATATTCTTTTTGGTTTTCGCGTGAATGGCTTCAAGCGCCGAGTCAGTCAGCCAGTCAGTCGGTCAGTCGATCCGCGAGCCCGCCGGGCAGTCAGTCAGTCAGTCGGTCAGTGCCAGTCAGTCGGTCAGTCGTCCGTCGATCCGCGAGCCCGCCAGTCAATCAGTCAGTCGGTGCGTCGGTCGGTACGCCAGCCTGCCGGTCTGTCAGTCAGTCGGGTGGTCGGTCGGTTGGTCCGTTTGGTCCATGCGCCAAGTGCCAGGCAGTCAGTCAGTCGCACAGTCCGTCAGTCGGTCCGCCAGTGTTTGAGATATATTTGATGGACCGCCATCGCCAAAATGAAGGGGCGTGTTTAAGAGATACGATGGACCTAAGATATGTGATGAACCGTTATTGCCAAGTTGGGGGGGGGGGGGGGGGG